AACAGACACTCATTCAATTTCCATAAAACCATAACGTTTAAATCTGGGTGTATGTAAAAGCAAATTGCCGGCTATAATCTACCCAACAATTCATAGCAGACCTTATGGGACACCAACGTCAGACAAAGCAGCCGTCGGGTTTCCTACACGCTAAAGTTTGAGAGAGGAGTAGACGAATGGTCGTTCACGGGAAGACACAGGTTTTGACACGGTGGTAGTTTAGAGGCGCAGCTGGTCACCAATGTCGCAGTTAATCATTTATCCTCCAGACATTTCGCCCCTAGGAAATAGATGGCCCCAATCCAAGCCGATGTCACTCTGCGAGCGTTAGCCGGCTTGCACGCTGTTTGAATGATAATGAGGCTTCTAACACCGTTATCTACCATCTACTAGTCGTTGCAGACTTTATAAATGCACCTTGCGTCACATAAAACCCTTATTTTCAAACGTTAGCACTGCCGTTACTTTTTACAGCCATTTTTGTGCTTTATATGGCAAATGTAAATTTACCCTTAAGGAACCCGTGAAGCAATTTCTGATACAAATTCCAAATGTTTGCAGCTGTCCCTGCGCGAAAAAAGAAGGAAATCGTGAGATCTACTGGTTAATAAACAAAGTTTGTAATGCACTGACATCACATTTACCGTATTGTAAATAGCTGATTGTTACCGATTGCCAGCTTGCTATGACTTTTAGCTCACTAGCTTATTTACTTGGTTGCTAGCTTTTAATTGTGTTCGTTAAGCAGTGAGGTGTGTGTGTGCCACCCTTCGCGCGCTCGGATCAGTTCGGTTCGGTTGGGTGCGGTTTGGTTCGGTTTTGTTCGGGTTGGTCTGGTTCAGTTTGCTGTAGTTTGGTCTGGGCTCTGCTGGGCTTGGCTTGGCTGGGCTTGTCTGGGCTGGGCTTGGCTGGGCTTGGCTTGGCTGGGCTGGGCTTGGCTGGTCTGGGCTGGGCTTGGCTGGCTTGGCTGTGCCCAGGTGGGAAAGTTGCAGAGGAGTACAAAAGCTGAACAGTGTCTGGGGAAATGCGGTGCATGGACCTTTCTTATAATACAGGATGAGCGAATATTGCTCCATGAACATCCAGCAAATGTTATGCTAAGGAGAGTACCCCTTATTTCATTTTGCTACACATGTGGGCTCGATTGCAAAATCACAGGCTGTCTTTCGTGTTCTATTAGTTTCATGTATTCTAACACTCAACCCCAGCGAAGCAATGGAAACGGATGTTGGAATTAGGAAGTAGTCAGTGGCATTAAGAGAGTAGGGGTGGTTCTGGGGATTGGGGTTTTGGGTTGGGGATTTCCAGAGATTCGGGTGGCGGGAGTCATACCAATCCTGATAGCCCTTACACTGAACGATTGTGTTCAGATTTTTAGTGTAGGACAGCATTGTTAACAACTACATGCGAGAGATTTTATGTCAGCATCCTTGAACATTTTAAAGAAACTTCACAAGGGCATTATCCGTAATGATAGGAATGAGGTTTCTAGGGATCCATGCATTTTTCTGAAGCTATATAAGATTCTGTGGCTTTAATGGCATATAACTAATTAAAATGTATTTTTTTATGAAACCTAATGAACCCAATACTGGATCTGTATGAAGGTATAGTTGGCTCTCATATCAATACATAGGCCTACCGAAAAGGCCCAAACTAATTCTGATTATTGAAAGTCATTAAACTATGAAAAGCACCTTACATAATCATATCCTGCAATCTGCCTGTCTATCGTTCCTGAAACCAATGCCAAATCTTACCCTAATAGGCTATTGAGTTACCTTGTAACAACTGTTGTCTTTAAATGAATTACATTGGTCTGTTAATCGGCATTTCCATTTTCGCTTGGCACGAAACACTGGGGTGGATGATCCCGTGACTAATACACCCGTCCATCTACAAATTGGGATGTTATATCCCCCATCCCCTGGGATTTACCCTCCTAGAAGAGGTGAGTAGTTTTCAGGGTCAAATCGCCCCGAGGAAAGACATTTTTGGGGGTATTTTTGCGATGTCCATTTGACGCCCTCACCCCGAGAATCGGCCTTTAACCTCGTGGGGACGGTGCTCTCTTTCCACTCAACCGCCCAAGTCATAGAAAAGGGAGCGGTTCGACCACCAGCTCATGCGATGTTGACACCACGTCCAGGTCGGCCGCTTCAACGACCTGGCTGCTGCTCCATCATGTCACCCTTTCCTCGGCTTAAGTTTCTCCCGCGGGCACCCCTATCCTTTTTCACTCAGTCTGTCGGAGCTCCTTCACGAAGCGCGCAGTGCGAACAAGGTGCCCTGCCCACGTCTGCTCCGCGAGCGTCTGCCTTGATGATTACATTAATCCACCCTTGGCAGGCTGTCATTAATTTGTCACCTCATCCCCTAGTAATCCGAAGCATTCCTCCTCTCTGAGGACTCCAATCCCAAGCTCTCAAAGGTGTTAACATCTTTCATACTAGTGTGCCTGGGAATTTTTTTTTAACTTATACAGCATGATCCCCAATCCAATTCAGCACCTGGGCACTATGTTCTTCCCAAAGAGTGAAATGGACTCTAGGACTAGGTACACGAAAATTTGAGGGACATTGAATAAGCCATTTGCAAGTTAACTTTGAAAAACAAATACACTGTGTTACCTGATGCCACAGGAATGTATCAATTTGAATCCCTGACTAAAGATTATGTTGCTATACCTCGTGGTTCGGGGCAAGCTTTTGCATAGCGACCAATGGACTGGTTCCTTTGTGCCGTTCTTATCCATTGAGAACAGTGTATTATTGCAAGGCGTCTCTTGTGTAACTAAGCGGAAGCTTGGCCCGAATCACAGGGTATAGCAATAATGATTTTAGTATGGAGAATTCAAGTTGTTTTGTTGTTTTTTAATTTAAAGAACTTAGCGGACCAGATTTTATTCACATTTAACTCGCAAATGGCTTACTCAATTTGACCGGTGGGAATTCTATTAGAGCCACTTCCCTGTCCGAGATCCTCCAATGAAATGTCTATGCCAAATCGTCCAGTCACTCAATGTGATCTGCAAAATGTGGTTGTTCCCCTTTTAGGCTGCAAAGCTATATATTTAGTCTGAAATGACAGCTGAAAACCTGCAAATAAAATGCGATTAACGGCGTAGCTTTATATACCCTTACTAAACAAATGATAAATTAAACAATAAAACTCAGGTACCAGATTCAGAAAAGGTGTTCATGAAGTCCAAGCAACACCTCTTGTCCGAAAACTGGTCAGTACTCTAGAAATATAAACAGGGGAAACTTACTGGCCTGACCAGGGCTATGACTATTAATGTTTGCAGGCAGTTAGACGCACTGGCCTCATAACCCACCGGGAAGAGAGCAGTGAAGCCCGCTACGTCATGTGTTCAATAAGTGGGTATTAAAAACCAACAAACACGGCGTCCGCCAAACGCAACGGGTTCCATCAGTATCATTCATCAAAAATAAAGCTGATGGCAGTTACCGTACTGGATTGTACTAGACTGCTGATGTGCTGGGTACCGTACTATACCATAACTTGGCTGCATTGTTTGTAAACAACACTCAAAACACACGCTGTTATATGTGGGTTGACAAACTACAATAGGTCACGTGATTTAGCGGGCGCAATCGGTCTAGGTGTAACTCAGCCGGTGTAGGGAATACTGGCGAATAAAGTGAACTGGTGTTGTACAACACCGACGGTAAGAGTGGAAGATATTTGGGTCTCTTTGGCTGCTGTTTGCGTTGGAATAGCGTATCTGACAGCGGGTCTTAAAACACCAGTATCCAAGAACCACACCCATTTTTAGGCAGTAGAAAGTCATCTCTTTCACTCTTTCATTAAGGTAATATGCCTTACTTATGAAACGTTTTCACTCGATTCCAACAGAGTTCGTGGGACCTCGGTAGGTGCATTACTAACAAAAGTGCTCTATTGTGACAAGTGAGGACATTTGTAACTTTGCATCCGAGTATGTAATACGCATAGCTAAGGAGAAATAAGACGACTCAACTGAGCATAATCCTTGCCGGATCTTGCCGGCGCGATACCCAGACACCTGCATTTAATAAGTGATCAATGAGACGCATCTTTCTTGGACACACGCTTTTTGTGTATATTTGCACTCTTCTTCAAAGTATCAAAACTATTCAACCCTCATCTTAATCCCTTTTGTGTAACGGGAAGTGCCTTGACAACTAATGGCATTGTAGTTTGTTTATTTGTTTGTTTGTTTTCTTTTCCTGTTTTGTTTGTAAGGTCACAAATTTGCTGGTAAATTTAATCAGCATTAAAACCAAAAAGTGCTAAAATAATTGAGAATACCTGTCCGTGTCCTTGAACGGAATCCTGTCTACTAGGCAAAAGCCTACTTTCAACCAGTTCAGGTTATAGATTCCATATGTGATGAACCTCTATAAAACCCAGATCAAGAAAGGTTTCTCACTGTAGAAACGAGGGTGCAATACATAACAAATATTTTGCTTATTAAAAATGCATGCTAGCATTTTGAATCGAGCTGTGCCTAACGTCAAAAGCACAAATAATGACAGAAATCCATATATGTTGTAATACAATGACAGAGTGTTAACCCCCCCCCCGAAAATAAAATAAATCGATAAATCACCATATAGTTGCCGAGATCGTCATGTCCAGTTTTACACACCCGTTAGCGCGAGAAAAAGACAAAAAGGACCGACCTGACGCCGCAAAACCTGAGGCGTTGGTTTGTTACTTATTGATAAACTCTGGTATACCGAGCCTCGGCCTCTGATGCTACTGGGCGGCTCACCCGCGCGTGAACGGCATCCTTCACGGTCACGACTGATATTCCTATTGGCTCTCTTTGTTTCCAGCCCGTATAGATAGGCAATGAATAGTTTATAAATTAACGGGAGGCGTTGAATCTTTGATGATACCCCTGTGGATTCGAGCCCGGACTTATTTTATCCGTTTGAACGACTGTTTCATCTCCGTCGGTCTCATTTGCCAGCAGGAACAATGATTGTAATGTTGCTTGTTGGCTCTGTATTGAATGGAATTGCTTAGGTATACCTCTGCACTGACTGAAACAGCCGTCGACTTCCCCGAAAAAAATGAAAATACCATCACACAGGTACCTTCTGCGCAAACAAAAACGCTGCATCAACAAGGGATGTCAAATACATAACATCATCCAACCTGCCGATGAGATCAGAAATGGTACACCGCTGGTAAGTTCCAAGGCTGCGCTCTCCAAAAAGTGTCTGGGCGTTGGTGCGTCGTAAGGCACTGTACGCTTTACTTGGCATCCATTCTTAAACCAGCGTACATACAAACATTACTGGGAGAGATACCAGAACTGAAGGTAATCATCGGTGTGGCTCATCAGGAACAATGCAGCTAGCGGGACCCCGAGGTTTCACCGGCACAGTTCGCAAGACAGAGCCGGTCAGATGGACATTGTTACCCGTGGCGTGCTTGCTCCTTTTGCTGATCGCGGACCCTTCACGCGCAGGTGAGTTGCTCTGCTCAGTTTCAATTATTTGCTGTGGGAGTGAAATTTAATACGACTTGGTTCGCGCCTTTCGCAGTTTTCTTTTTTTCCCATCTCTATCTCTCTGGATGCCAGTTGCTCAGATGGGAATTCTTCGATTGCATAGCTGACTATAATTGGCTGAGCCACATTGAGTACTTCATTCTTAACTTGTTATTAAATGAAATTTATTTACGTTTCACGGTAAGGTATGTATACTCAATTCGATTGTAATTGAAATGTAAATTCTATTAAATTTGCCTTATGGAAATGATTCTGTCGAAAGGGATCTCGTTTTTTTATCAGTATCTTTTACTTCGTTATTTTATCTACATTTCGTGGTCATTTTAGTCGTTCTGTGTCCTTAAAGTATTGCACTTTGCCTCAACTGTTCAAAATCCAGTTTTAGGTGAAAACTATTCTTTCTTTTAAAAACTGTATTTTAAATTTTGTTCTTAAACTATTTGCAAGGAATTCCCGAAAATGTAATATGTAAAAATTGCCTTTTGATAATGGAACAGGGTCATTGGCTTAGTGGGTTTGTGAATGGGTGGGTGGGTAAGTGGGTGGGGTACGAAGCTTTCAGTGTGTAATGATTTTGATTAAACCCACGACAATATCTTTATTGGATAAAAAAGGTTCCATCTCCTACTCTAAAGTAAGGCAGTTTCCATTAGCAAAACCTTTCTAGTTTATTTTGTCCAACTAGATCAGGAGAAGAATTTTGAGAAAGTCATACACGGGTAGTTCTTGCATTTGTAGCCTACACAAGCCTCTAAAGATTTTGGTCCTGGTTGAAGCTATTAATGATATAAACATGCAACAATACAAGGTTACTTTCAACTTTATTTATATTTCCCGTTTCAGTTTCCTAAATGTTACATCGTTTGCAGTATTTTCTGCTTGGAAGTGAAACCAATGTTTGCCGGGCATCACTGGTTATCAAATCATAAGGCCTCAACAGGATTGAGCGCAGTTATACACAAAAAACAATGTAGAGCGTACTACGGAAGGAAAAAAATGTATAGCAATGGCTCTGTTGCCCTTAGAACAGTTTTGGGTTTTTTTGGGGGGTTTTTTTGTAATGGGGAAACAGACTTTTGTGATTTAAATTCCCTCCACACCGGGCAATGCATGTACATATGGTCAGCGTAACCGATGATTTCCTGTCTTTACTTTGGCTCGGTTAGTGGTGCGGGACACGTTGTTTATTTGGCAACTTGTAAGCTTACCTGCTAAAGTGCAATCATCGAGATTCCTAGTGACAGCTTTGCAAAGAACGAAACCCTAGCCTTACCTGATGAATTTAAAACACGAAGAGTCGGTGCTTCTTTTGTCTTCTGTATTCCAGAGAACGAGGACACTTCTCTTAAGCCAAGCATTCCCCCCAAGAAAGGTAAAAAACAGCCTTGCCCTTCCCATGTGCACCCCAAAGCCACCCCCTTGCTAGTGCATCCATCCTGTTAGCAGCGTACGTCGCAGTACCCCCAAACCAACCTTCCCTCCATCCAAGAAATGTTAAAATATGTCATTTATTTTCCACAAGTGTCACTTAACCGCACCCCCCCCCTGCGCCAGCAAGAACAATATTGGAATTCCTGTTTTCCTCCCCATGATGCACCATTATTTTTCCCTTCAGACATGCCAGCCTCCCATTGGGTTAATGTAATAGGGATATCGGTCATTATAGTTCAAGTGGGAACCATAATAGGGCCAACAAATGTTGAATTGTACCATTCGCATTTACAGGTGTTTTTCGTTGTATCAAATCAAGGTGGCTGTTCCTTTGTACGGATGAGATGGATAACAACAAACAGACATGTTTATATTGTTGTATATTCCTTGCTTCTACTTTTTTCTTATCAGGGCGTCTGATGTTAACAATGACCACGCAGAGTGGAGAATGGATGTAATTGTGTATGTTTTGTTCTTGATACACTACTCGATATTTATAGAGTCGTTCCTGTTTATGTGATTTTAACTATTGCTCTGCTGGTGCCTTTTTGGAGAAAGTCAATATTGTTTAGTTTGATAAATTTTGACACATACCCAGCGAAATTGCTCGCACCCGATCCAGCGAAAGAAATGTTGTCCCCCGAAATACTGTTTCTGGATCTATCGTTTTGTATGTTTGTCATTTAACTGAGCTTATGGATCTATGGATAAATGAAATGATATAAGCCAGTATAGTTCTAGAAAATAAATACATACTTTATTTAGCCTACAGACGCATGATTGTTACACTATGTTTGGTGGAGAATTTGATCAAGTTCGGTGTGACTCTACAAGTATTGAAAATACAATTGCAATTCACGAGGTTGTTATCTTTCATGGAGTCATCCATCAGGTTGACGCCATGAACACCAAATGCAGTGACAATTAATCTGTTTGAATTATTGCAGAGTTGCGGTTCCAACTCGGAGCAGTTCGAGGCCAGTCATTATTCTAATTGAGTCATTTAAAACGCCATTGGTCCCAAATGGCCTTAAAGGTATCCAAGAACTAGTAGCTGCATTTGTCCTTGTACTTGCCGTTACTGAGTGTGCATGGCATAAGTGTTTTCGGTTACACTTTCTTTGCATTGAAAACAAAGTAAAGACAGGTTCGTAGCTCGAGCGAACGCAAAGCGAAACAAGGTTTACTCCGAAAACATTTTTTGGCGAAATTCATACGAGTTGAAAGTGTCTTAAACTTTTGCAAACTCGCGGCACGCGACAATTTCACGTTCTTGCTGTCTTTCTTGCCAAGTGTTGACCAATTTTGCCAAGTGTTTTCAAGTTCACTTTCTACACGGATATTGATGCCAAGTGAAGAAACAATCAATACCAAGCTTTCGTTTTCTATTTTGTGGTTCCCCCCCCTACAAACTTGGACTGGTTTGAGCAGCCCTGGCGTTTATGCGCAAAGGCCATACGGTTTTAGCAGCTTTCTGAGATTTCAAACAAATAGGTGAATAGATATTGTTGTATTTTGCCGATTGCATCAACGTCCAATAAGGTAGGTCTTGTTACAGTAATTATTATTGACCAAACCTCGCAGGAATGTTCCGAACATAACTTCGCACATTTTCGGTCATGCACATGAAAAGAAGAAATACATATAAAGGAAAGTAAACTATTGTCAATTTCAGTTTTTGCAATTAGCATCATTACAGCTTACACAACTATGAGTCAGTTTTCGTGGCTTAGTTTGAATTCCAATCAACTTCCATGGAACGTTCTAATGGTGCACCGTGTACTCCTTTGAACCTTGCCTTGGCCGTGTGTGTTCGGGGGACAAAATGCACGCCATAAACGTACTGAAGCATGCAGTCACGCAGCCGTTATTGGCCATTTGGAAAACTCGTCACGGCTGCCAGAACTCACTTCAGACTAATTGTACTAAAATTGCAAGGAGCCATAAAAGGGCCCAATTCATCATTTTAGTGCCGTCGGAGGCATTAATGGATCTCTCTGCTTATTCGAGGTGGCATGGAATCAGTATAGCATGTACTTAGATGAATTTTGGAAGAGACGAACTGACAGCGAGTCGCGGTCAACAAGGCAGCTGGTACACCGACAAAGACATTCCTTCGCGGCAGGAATATACAACGTCCATTAGATCATATATACAGAAACGCCTTAAAATTTAAAAGTAACCCTCTAAAATGTCTACGTTAATATGTTTCTGCTTGATTTATTGTGGGAACTGGTGTTTCTGCAAAGATCAAAGTAGGAAAAGCTGTTACGATACAGATGGATTCTAAATATGGCTGTTTGAGCATGGCATAATGTTATTCTTAATTTCCACTGAAATGAAACAAAAATGATTCAAATGAAGATTTCCTGCGGCAATTACTTAATATTAAAGACAATAAAAGCTTGCGCTCAAGCTTGATTAGACCCAAAGCTGTAAATTCGTCCCCACATGACCTTCCACGTGGTTGCCGATAACATGCTTCCCAGACCAAAAGATACCGACGATTTTGATAAGTACAGGTTAGTCGCCACGGTCACGTAACTAAAACGGTAGGAATTCCTCCCACGTCCGAAATTTGCCCCCCCCCAAAAAAAGCCGAAAATTCCCAGACTCGTTTAAATAATTTGTTGGCAATGCCATTGATAATTGCAAATATCAGGCGTGTATATTGCTTCCGATTTTCTGAAATACATCACTGTTTTAAAAATTCACCACTCTTTTTTTTTTTTTGTCTCGTTTTGTTTTGTTTTTTTGGGGGGAAAGGAATAAGTTTAAACTCTAACGGACATTTTGCACTACTGTAAATACAAGTGAATTCTACCAATATGATGTCATACCTTACTTAAGGCAAACATTAGCGTTTTTGATTGATACAGTGAAGTACAAGCCTAGTTTCAAAAGATCAACCGGGTTTCGCTAGGTTACTTACTTAGTTTTAGGTAATACAACGGCGGAGATAATTATTTTGGACCTTGCCCAGCTGGTAAGATTCTTCGCGATTTCTGTCTTGCGTTCTACATTGAATGCCCGACCAGCACTATTTTTTAAACATTGGTATTGAAGCATTTTGAATGACTCTCGGGTTTCTTGTTTGTTTTTTTTAATCCGGAAAGTATCCCCATAACCCACCTGAAGTAAAGCGGTGGTACCGTTTATAAAATTTTACCATTTTCAAATCATTGTTTTCGTACAAATGATCAGCATGTTGTTATAGGGGCAACTTAAGTCCTGCTGTAAAATTACTCGGAGCGAAGGTTTAGAAAGAGTGGGAGAAAATGAATACGAACATCCTTCCCGGAGACAACAAAACCAGTGAGATATTAATGGTGTTAAATGGAAACACTGAGCGTTGCAGCTGTCTCCGACAGTGCCATTTACCCCAAGTGCTGTTTTCATTTTCCAGCAGCCTTTTCATTTCCCTTCACAATGCACCTTTTTCCAGTGCACCCATCAAAAGCAAGGGATTATATCTTCAATTTGCGATTAAATTTGCTTCCAGGAATGCTTACCGCGGGAACCTGCAGGGAGGTGACACCATAATGTATATAGCACTTATAGTTTTGGGGATTATGTGGAACTAAGCGTGTCATCATATATTTATTGTTGACGCAGAGGTATGTAGTACTGGTAATAATAAATATTAAATGAAGGTGACTGCACTTTCATCAGATACAGTCAAAGAGAATGCACAAGGTCTCATCATGACAGCATGTAACAAATGGCGCGTACAATTATCATAACAGCCGTCAGAAGCGATGTGTTCAGATGTTTCATATTAGAGCAATTGTATAGACTTACTTTCAGTGAAATGGGCGCCAAATGGAATGTTCTTGGCTCGATTTCTGAGAAAGACTTTGGAAATTTGGGGAAATTGGGTGAATATTTAAAAAATTCCTTGTTTTTTCGGTAAAAGATATCTAATACGTTATAAAACGATAGGAAATGCGAATCAGTACTTAAATGCATAGGAATCAATGTTGATACTAAATAAACAAACAGGATTTTGTCTTGAACTTCACTTCTAGCAGGAGTGATATGAAGACTTTACGTTTACGACTGTATATTTCGTTATAGATTTCAGAGAACGGTGATTACATTTCGTTGGTTTTTTAATAACATTTAAAACCTTAAAGATGTCTGTTTTCAATTACAAAACCGATTATCGAGGCTTGTCAGGTCCATGCAACCTTTACTGTTGCTATTTGGAAGTAATTTTTTTCGGAATACTATCAACTTAACTGCTCTTGAGAGACTGTCAAACGAATCTTGGGCGTGTCATAGGACCAGAGATACAGTCGTCCGTTCAGCTGCTCACAAGTGTTATAATACCTGTAAAATGGGACCCAATTTGCTCAAGGCTCCTGAATGTATTCTCAACTTGCCTTGGAATTTACTCGATTTTAAACTTTTCCAGAAGGTGCTCCTGGGGACTCCTTGTAATTGGGGTACCCCTACACTCTCATTTCCTGCCCTCTTTCCTCGAAGCTACAGATTGGCAAATGCAGAAGTTAAGGGGGGGATGTCTAAACATTGCCGACGGTAGCAAAAAACGCTCGAGGCGTTACGAGCCAAATGCTTCAAACACGTGGACCTGCAATAAATGTTTAGACATTAGGTTTTGTCAGTGGTAAATGCCAGCCTTCAATAATTTAAGTGTTTTTTGTTACTGCTGATATTAAAAGTATAATACATTCTTAGAATCCATCTATACATCGTGTGTTGGATGGTATTCTGTTTGTCAAACAAATATGAACCATTTTGAGAACTCTTACACTTGGAAACGTATACATGAAATCTAATTAAAAAAAACAGTAATGTAAAAGATATAATCACATTTTTGAGACATATTTGCCAATTTGAAAACAGATTAGGTACACATTTGGATGCAGAAGCTAAAAGAAGAATGTTGAATGCGAAGCGCAAGAACAGGTAGAGAAA